ACTCTATGATTATATATTTTATTTTAGCACTTTTAGACTACTGAAGCTATGACCACAATAAGGATGGAGTCATTTTCTGCAAGCTTAATCACTGGTTGGCTCAATGGACAGAAAACACAACTAAGGCAGAAATTTCTCTACAAATGCTATTTGCTAAGCATCACTGATGGACGAAGGACTATGGGCCATGCAAGACAGCCTGTGGAGGACAGAGCTAAGCAAGAGGCAAGAATGACCAGATGATGGCTAGCAATGATAGCCAACATTATGTTAAGAATGAACTTGAAACACTGACTTCACACTGCATTCCCAGGTCCCAGTAGGTTGCCTTGACGGCAATTCTCCCAGCTTTATTGATACCAGAAAGGCTGCCAGGAAGGTTTTCATGGTCCAAATGTCAGGGAAATGGCACAGAATATGATCACACACATCGCAGACAGACTACAACAGCTGCCCTTATGAGGAGCCAACTGATATCCTATGGTTTGAAATCAAGACAGTCACAGCCAACTGCTCCAGAACTGCAATCTCAAGCCACACACAAAGAATGTGGTGGAAGCTTCACCGATGTGCACCAGTGTCCTTCAGGGCTAGCATGAAGGTAACTGCTTGGCTGACTTGGTTGTTCAGCCCCAAACTTTGCACGTGCATTTGCACCCAGCACAAAAGGAAACAAGCTTCTCAACCAAAGACTCAAAACCTGGTTATTAAATGTAAACCATCTATGCAAGGAAGGTGCAGTCCAACTACTCTGCTATGAAAAGCACTTTGTGATCTCCCTTCTCTTCCATTTTACAGACTACATTAACCACAAACATTTCAGGTCATACAGCTGTATTAATCTGGAACACCAGCAAAGGACTGCAGAACAATCTCTCTCTCCTTTTTGATTCAACAATGAAAAATAGCTCAAATTGGAGAAGATCTGTCAGCATCACGGGACCGATGACTTGCATGATCTCAAGGTACTAAGGATTTGGCTCCCCAAATGTTAATCCCTGCTGTGCTCTGGACTCTGACGAACCATCTCAGACAGCTCTGCCCATCCAAAACAAAAGAGTACAATGAAACCATGATCCATGGAGCAATGAGGAGGTAAGAGCTTCTCCATTGCTACCAAGTGGCCAGCGAGCTCTTCCCATCAGCACATCACGATGGTAAACCTGAATATGGACTGCAAGTCTGAAATACACTCTCTTCCCACTTTGTTTCTCTCCGAATAGTCGAAGTGACAGCATCCTTCTGTTACTTGGTAAATGGGAAGATCTACTCAGTACACAGTTAACTACCTGCCTGCTCAGCAGATTCTGTACTGAAAAGATATTACAGGAATACGCATTACATAAATACAAATATAATGGATACGTGGGTTTGTCATCATTCCACACTATGGCTGTTAATATCCTAAATACAGTGAATCACAGACTGCATTCTGATTATTTTTTTCAGATTTTCTTTCCCATGGGATGATAAGAAGTAATCTCCCTGTTGTTACAAATGTTTTATTTTGAAAAGAAAGCCTTTATGCATATTTTAGTTGATCTAAATACAGTAGATCTTGGGTTTTTAAATCACGAGATAATACGCAATTATCTCAAGCTAGATTCTGATTTTGAAACAAGCTCTAATTAGCTCCCCATTTTATGCTGCTATAATCCTTTCTTCAACTCCCATGAGTGTTACTATTGCTAAGCAGCATGAGGTTAGGAATGATGGATGATACCCAGAAAGGAAGACAAACAAAAGGGAAATTCAAAATCCCCTGAGATCACCCGCAGCTGTATCGGCAAATGAAGATTTCCACATTAGGTCATAAGACGACCCTTACAGAAACACAGACCAAAAAGGCACGTCTTTTTCCCACTGAGTATTTGCAAGTCTTTAATGTAGTATAGAGAGAGTGTATGTCCTTCACAGAGGATAAATACAAAAGTGAATACAAATTCAGCTTTCCTGGGAGCTGCTATGAAATCAACAGCAGCAAAACCTGAAACTTTGTCTTGAAGTCATACAGATGCTCAGTAAAGACTTAAGAACCCAGAATGAAACAGGCTGGTAAAAGCTACATACAGTACAAGCATTTAGAAATATACCCAAGCACAAAACCCATCTTCTGGCACATGGCTACTGGCCAAAGCCAACCCAGCTCTGATCAGCAGCAATGCAACTAAATAAGGGTCAAATTCATCACGAAAAAACGCTGATGCAGTTGGGTGACACTAATTCAACTTTTTGTTCCATGTGATTTGGTCCGTGCTTTTGACACATAAATCATTAAAAAGGCAGATTTACCCAAGGGCATTAGAGCAGTTAGGTGGAAAGAAATACACAGGAAGAATCTTCGGAAAGGCACAGCGATACTATTTTTGACCACCGAGGGTATAGGCACCGTTTTTGTGTAAAACAAGTTCACTGAAACTTGCACAGAAACACGAAAGCCTTGATGAAAGGTCACAAGCAGAAAATACAGGTATTTACCTGGTTGTAATTTGGTACAGTGTTTTTTCAAACCCCATAAATAAAGGTTTTAAAGATGAAAATCAAGCCTGGCTTCTCTCTGCTATCTCAATCTCTATCTATATCTGTATCAAGACCCATCTAACGCTTATCCATTCATTCCCACATAGAAAAGACTAATGGGTCCATCTGTTCACGTGCGACAATGGAAAATCACCAGACAAAAGAACACATTTTCATGAACGAGGTGTTAATCAAAACCTCATGATCTAGGAGTGTAAGTAACCGGGTCAGAAATCCAGCAAATCTTGCTAGTTTGACAGAATAGTGCCAAACAGTAATGAAAATACTCACAGCTAATAAAAGTCTGAGACGTTACTATGCTTGTTGACACTCTGCACGCTGAAGACCTTCTTGGCAAAGCACTCAGGAGCCACTGAATGTATTAGTTTAATTTCACTTCTTCCCCTTCATGCATTCAACAAGTTCCAAGGCAATTATATTACACGGAAAAGGTTCCAGACCTTTTCTCGTTTCAAAATTGTTCTGATTCATTTCTGGTTTAAAACTACAACATGCAACCTTTTCTGCCTGGATTTTCCTGGGAAACATCTCAGAAGAAGTGAAAATGGGAATTGCTTTTTTCTTTTGCCTGCCCTGCAGTGGAGGATCTTTCACAAATGCATAATTCTTATTACCTTTTCCAAAGTGCTTGCTGTGCTTTTAATTACAGAAGCGCTGCTAATAAAAGAAAATGACCAAACTGCCCTTCCTCATTCAAATCACTTGGTTTTGCTCTTTTGTTCTGCAGGGTGTCACAACTTTCCTTATTCCTTTATACAGAGGAAGGCACCAGGAAAAGAACAATTGCACAACAATTTTGTTTTTAATCACTGGGTGAGGAAGAAGAGGGCACGAGCACCTTCTCTCCTTAGTTAGTCTAAGGAAAGAAGGGGGCAATCATCAATAACATGATTTTATTAGCTGATAGGAACGTGTCGCCTCACAAAATATGAGCTCAAGGGCAGGAACTGACAAACAAGATTGGGAGTGTGGGAGGGGAGCAAAATATCACAGCAGCAAAACTGAACTTCCTGAAGGAAATCACTTTCAGCTACCAGCGATCCTCCTGGGAATCCACAAGGTGGTTGGATTCTAATCCTATGGGCTTGTCTTTCAATCTTTTATAATTACAGTTAGTCATAAATATGATGATTAGCAATAACAATGCAGCCTTTTCCCAGCTCCTCTGATTTCAGATTCCTCTTAAAACGGCTACAATTAATTACTCATATTTTCCATGCTGTCTTAGGCGTTTATAGCTGTAACAGTTACCCTTGCATAGTATTAATGCTACAGAAAAATAGCCAATGCATGCTTTTAATGAACAGCAGCTTCTAAAACGTAGCAGGAAACTTTAATGTTCACTAAATGCTTTGCTGCAAGTAACAATAGCCCTATGATTGCAAATAATTTTTGCCCAGTTTGGTTATTTTCATTGCTTGCTTTTACCAGGGGCATTTTTTGTTTGTTTTTTTTTTTTTTTCTGGCTTTTATCTATTTTCAACTCTTAAGAAAAACGTGGACCGAATGTCATCACGGATCTTCTTGTAGTAAAATCTTTTAGTCTGAAATAGTTTTTCAGTAGACAGAGAAACGCGATTGGGTTGGGATGTTCAGAATAAACCCAGCAAACGCCAGAAAAAAAGAGTGTTTCAGAATGGCAAGAGGTAGAAGAGGAGCACGACCCACCCTTGTGTGTATGCTGGAATGCAATAGTTCTCCAATACAGGGCACAGGGTGCAAGTACTGGGTAGGGCACAAGTGTTTTTCTAAAGCACAAAACAGCCCAAGCAGTTTACGCCAGTTAAGCATATCATTGGTAAAACGTCTGTGTGGGTAGAGTTTGGTATCTAACAGCAGGAACACAGCTGTTCTGTTCCAGTCTCCTTCCTATACCGTGGCTATCTTACAAAACCTTGAGCAATTTACTTCTCTTTGACACTCATCTTTGCTGCATCTGCTTTTTTGCAAACAGAAAGGGGAGGGAGGAAAAAAAAGAAGGTCGGTTTGGAATACTTAGGGAAGCTTGAAACAGAGAGGCACAACGTGGTCTTTTCCCCCACCTTCAAATTAACAAAGCAGGTTTTATGCTAAGGAAAGTGGGGGGAACAAAAAACAAGCCAGTGTGAGTGAGGCAGCTGGAATATGTAGATCACATTACAAACGAAAGGCTTGTTTTACAGCCATTGTCACATGTCAAACTGATAAGCTGAACTATGGTAAAAGAAACCCTACAGAGCCAATGATCTCTAAGATCAGAGAGAGCCTCTTTACCTAATATATGCAGCTAAATACGTGTACTCCCTACATCTGCCATAGCAACAAGGAGAGAACGAGGAATTAACTGGCTTAATAAAAACCTGAAGGGACTCCTGTATGATATAACACAACACGGGCAACCTCTTGGCATCAAAGCAAAAGAAACGTAACAAAAGCACACAGAATTATTTCAGAGCAAATCATTGAAACCAGCTGATTACCTGAGCTTGCACATCCCTGCTGTAGGGAATCCTGTAATGATGTCACAGAGTGAAGGACTAGATAAGAGAGGAGAGGAAAATCAGGGAACAATAAAAGGAGATGCCAAACCACAAACTAAACAGTAAGCAGGCTCAACAAATAGCAAAGTGCTGATCTCGGCAAGGGCGCGCTGCTCATTTAAGTCAGTGGCATTATCAGGGTACAACCGAGGCCAAACCCTAGTCTGGCCTTTCTGTCACAATTGGTATTAGAGTAAGAGGAGAGCCACAATAAAAGTGTAATTGCAACACAGCATCCCCCCCTTTAAAGCTTAGTTCTTCTAGCTCACCTCCTGAGAAAGCAATCGATATTCTCCTAGGAACAATAAAAATCCCCTATGCAAGCCTAGAAAACAGCACACAAGATTTTCCAGCTCTTTGGCCAAAATCGTTTGACTTACGTATCATATTCATGCCTAGCTAATATCATCCTAATGAGGAACTTGATAACTGCTGCTTATCAATTACACATAAATAAGTGCTTCCTTCATAAACATTCCCAGTGCATTCTCTGGGGACTGGCTGGGCTGCAAGGGTGGACGCTGCCACTTCCAGCATTGCCTGGCCTAGCACTGGGTGCAAGTGTCACTTACTGCAAGTTTAAAAAAGAAAAGAAAAAAAAGAAAAGAAAGATCTCCTCCTCCTCGACTCAAACAACAGAGTGGAATTTTAATTACCTTGTCCTTGTTGCTGCCCTTGTGCAGGCAGGACACACTGTCCCAGCTCACCATTCAACCAGAGCTGCATACGAATAAATGGTTCTCGGCCTTTTTGGGTCAATTTACTCCATGGCTTTGGCCTGGAGAGCATGTCACTGACACTTCCTTGGGACAGCCCCAATACCTGAAGTGAAGCAACCAAGAATGGCACGTTAACACATTTGATGTGGAAGGACGAGTAATTTCAGTCACTTTGGTTTTCCTTTGCTGCTGTATCGCTCCAATCGCTTTTATAGGGACAATGAGTAAAACTGCAAAATGACCTCTGTGGGTACTTGGATGGAAATGCTTTTCTCCTGCCGTGGTTTCCTGCTGGAGCATGGGGCTTTTTTCCTGCAGGAACGGAGTGGCAGCACAAACAGCAAAAGGATGGTGCGAGATTTGCATGCTTTTCATATTTTGTGTCAGATAGTTTCATCAGTTTTAACAGGAAAAACAGAGAGTCCAGGCACACACAGGCAGATAAAACAGGAAATGATTGGCATGTATTTTGTTCTCAAACAAAAATAATTGGGACTTTTGAGACTAGGCCTATAGCTGGTTGATTTTTTGGGGGATGAATTATAACGATGTGTATTTTCACCTGCAGCAGCGGCTGCTCCACGTAAGTAAATATTTAAGAACACAGCCGACTGCAGCAAAGGGGGAATTTCAGACAGACAGAATGCAATTACCTGCCTGGAATTCAGCACAGGTACAGCAGTTAAAAATCACATGTAATGAAAGCTGCCACGGGATCTTTAATGACCCCAAGAGGTCAGGTTTTTCATTTTACATCTTAGTGAAAAGGTAACAGCACGATGCCAGCTCCTATTAGACTGTTATATTTGATTCAATTCCGCATAGGAAGAAGAAACACCAGATGTCCTCCGCTTCTTACAGCCTGGGAGGTGTTTTCTGGTGGGTGGGGACCCTCCTGAAATCCCACGTGTTCAATGCTTAGGGCCCACAGTGTGAGGATTTCAGACAGCCTTATCGTGCATTGTGTATCTGTAATCAAACATTGCTTTAAAACATCTCAAAGCACGCTAAGGTACCGAGCACCAGGTATAAGAAATGACTGAATTCCTGGCTTCAGACTAAGGAGAGGTAGGGGATTTTCCGTGTGTTTGTTTAAATACCCTTGTGCACATTTCCAAATATTAAAAAGGAAAAATGCTCTTGTGTCTTCACTTATAACAAATTTAAGACTCTCCAGTCATGACAACGGTATTACTCAAATATTCCATGAATTCATTACTTTAAGCACGAAATATTGAGTCTCAGTAACGTTTGCTTCAGCTTTCAGGATTTCTAAACTGGGGGGCCCCATTTCTAATTACAGGTGGCTGCAGCCAATCTTTGTATAAAACACTTAACAGACGAAGCAAAAGCATTTTTCCATCAGACACATGGTGTATCCTCCTGAGCTCCAGACCAACATAAGAAGCAGAACGCGCGCTCACAACACTGGGGTAACAAGAGAACCACTTCTTTACCTTTTCCCCAAAGATCCTTTGGCAGATGCCATTCTTTGCTAGCTTTTCTTTGACCTGCCGCGTTAGCTCTATCGTATCCACTTCCTGGTACATATAAATCTCATACTGCTCAGGTGTCAGTGGAGGAACTGAAGGTTTGGATGGCTTTGACAAAGACACGATAGGGGATGAAGGGAGGGGGCTATTCTGTGGTGTCTCACTGCGACTCGCCCCAGTCATGCTCAATTCAGAACTCTGCGAGTACGGAGATTCAGCGTTTGGCCACTCTTTCCAATACTCTGAAGAAGATGGTCCTTGGAGCTGGCTACGATCTGGCCTAGTCTGATTGCTGACCTTTTCTTTTCCACCACTGGTTTCCTCAACTTTTATGTCTTCAGGAAGAGCTGTATTTCTTCTCTCATGCTGCACAGTATTCCACCAATGGTCCTTCCAAACACCACCACGTCCCAACTCATTTTTAACATGCCTCAACATACCCTGGGCAGAATCACTTACTCCATGAAGCTCTAAAACAGGTGCCTCCTGAGGCTCCTTTTTGAGCCCAGAGAGGTTCTGCAACGCAGAGATACTGGAATCAGTGACAGATGAATGTTTCTTCAGGGATATGGCCAAAGGAGAATAGCTGGAAACTGAAGACATTGCAGGTGTAGATACTAGTTTGGGGGACAGGATAGAAATGTCAGCTTGAGATAAAGGTGGTGTTTTTAAGGCAGGTTCAAGGGCAGCCTGCTGTGCCTCCATTTCACGTCGGGCTTGTTGCAGAATGGATCGAATAGCATCATCAGAATTGCCACTGCTAGATGCAGAAGGCGGCTGAGCCGGCTCAGCTATGAAAAACAACCAAAAGACTAAATGCAACACAGGAATATGCTTTATATTCAACATGTGCTACTGTTAATATTTCCCTGTCAGAAAAAAGGGCTGCAATACATTTCTGGATGGGAAGGAGGAGTTTCCACTAAGCAAAGGTTTGTACTTTATCAAAATAAGGTAAGATTTCCAAAGTTCTTCACTGGAAAAATATGAGAGTTGCCAAAGTGCTGGACTTGTGCAGGCAGAGCCTCAGCTGCAGATGTCTGGTGCCATTTGCATGTTTTCCACCATTGAAAACATTTTCAAACAAATGCCTTTGAAAATTCAAGCCTTCAGCTCTTCCTCCCCCACCCCAAGTGGTCAATAACATGTCATGGGTCTGTTTGCAAAGTTATTTAACCTTTCACTTCTCTCTATCTTCACAAAGGAATGGTAACACACACAAAACTGCGCACAGCTGCATTCACCTGGATGGACTACTAATACCCTCTTACTAGATAAATGAGGGGAGCCCTTTATACTCCAAAAATATAACACACAAATTACAACAAAGCAAGAACTTTACTAAGAGACTTCGTTATTTCATTTAACAAGCTGGATATGCTCCTGCTTCCTGTTTTCTCATTCCATGGTCACAGCCACTGAAATAAACAGCTCTACAAAAACCAGGCTGATGCCTGGTCATCACTCTGCCTTATCTGGAGCTCAAGAATGGAGCCCTGGGCTCTTTCAGAAGAGGTAACACCTAAAAGCAGTATTTCAGTGGTGAATCGGGGCTTGTGGGGCTGTGCTGCAGCAGTTGGGGATGAGCAGAACAATGGCATCTGCTTCCATTTAAGTTAGTCTCCACTGAGGTCCCCAGTGGTTGAAAACCAATTCCTCTGAAAGCTACTCTACAACGAATGGGGAAAGTGAAGCACTAAGTATAAGAGGGAACTCATACACTACAAGAAGAGGCCTCAAAGTGAAGTAAGATTTGAAACACGCTGCATGTTATTCTAGCAATATTATGGGCTTGTCTGAATACATTTCCAAATTTGCTTCCCTACATTGCTTCCTGTCACACACTATAAAATACATTTAAAAAGCTAAGAAATGGGGAAAAAAAGACAGTGGGACTCTCCCTTCTATCTACTGGTTTCATTGGGAGTTTTGAGGCTGAATTAATATTTGAAAGGAAGTCTGACATTCCCTGATGAAACATGCAACTGGAACAATGTGCTTGCAGTTTCCTGCACACAGCCCATATTTTTCTCTGTGTTATCATTACTTGTATAAAGTCATATTCACTAAGTCATATATTAAATTGTATATTAACTGTCTTTTATAATTTGCCATGAGATTAGGTTAGTTTTCATTTAAGAGACAACTATCCAAAACTGTAAATCAGTATTTAAAAAAACAAACCAAAGGACTGCACAGTTATTTCTACTCCAGCATTAGTTCTTTAGCAGTACTGGAAACTGCTTTAAAGATGGGAGGGCTATGGAGCAGACTATGTGTTAACTACAAGACAGCATACAATGAGAAATTAAACTTCTCTAGGGCTAAGATGTTAAACTAATGATGTTTTTGGGAAATGAAACGCTTTTTGGATTTGCCAGTTCATTCACTGAACACATTTGGTAACCAAAACCACAGCCATATAGAAGTTAGAACTGAGTTTGCCTATATTCTAATTTCAGTACATGATGGCCACAGTATGATGGTCCTATGTGACTGATAATTGCTGGCAAGATAATGACCCTCACCCCGACAAATCCATTCAGTTCCCTCTTCCATGCAGTTGTGTCCCTGGGGCCTGAGTTAGATAGAAGAGAATAGAAAGCAGGAGGCATTGCCTTTTCAAGGAGCAAACTGCTAGCAGAAAGGGTTTTGTAGGTATGTCCTGCAGGGTGACTGCCTGCAGGTCTGGAGTGGTGTAGGGAAGGCAGAGCTTTGACATGTGGAAAAGGTGTTCAGGAATCTTAGTGTTGCTCCCCCAGCAGCAGGGCAGAGCAGAGTGTTGAGCAGAGACCCTGCCAAGCAGTGACACGTGTACCTTAACTTAGGATCTCTTAGAGACAGAAACAACTCCAGCAAATAATTAAAAAGAAAAAAAGAAAAGCAGCTCTTCAAACCTACATTCAGGGTTTTAAGAATATAATTAACTGACCAGAAAGCTCCTGGTAATTGTTTTAATTAAATTCTGAAATAAAAGGAGCAAGAGACAGAATGAGACCATACCTGTTTTCTGTACTTGCAGCTCCCTTTTGGCTTGTTCGAGAATGGATTTGATGGCTTCATCAGAGCCAGTCTCTGTGGTTCGGATTCTTGTGGTTATATTACCTGGAGAAGAAAACAAAACTAATGACTCTGGGAAAACCTCTATTTGCTTGGTTGTTTTAACACAAAGACAGACAGTATATACTGATATACCACCAGCATGACCTGACAGCAGTTTACACAGCACCTTTACCAACATTTACAACACCAAGAAGGCACTTAATAAAAGAAGAATATCCTTGCAGTGCAAAGGCCTGCCCGTTAGCTGCACTGGAGCAAGGAGAACACTGACATCACCAGAGGAAGAGCTAGGTGGTCATATACACCTTTCCCAGCATAACATACATAGGTCTATCTTTTTTCCTTTCCTTTTTTTTTTTTTTTTTGTTTTTGGAGGGGGAGAGAAAACAGAAGGGAAAAGAACCAGAGGGGAAAGGAAGAAAGCTAAAAACATAAGATAAGGAATCAACTTAAAAACTGCATCAGGTGCCAGGCAAAGGAGGAGGAGTATACAACCAGCCCAAACCAGAATTAGAACAGAACTAGATAAAAAGTAACCTTTAACTTTCTAGAGGTTACTACATTAAGAAAAACAGCCATTTAAACACAGATACCATTTGAAGCACTCTCCAGCTAACAGGTATTACTTGGTGGTTTGGTTTGGTTTAGGTTTTATTTAACCACTAAGGGGAAGAAAAGGAAGAAAAACTATGACTGTGAATGCTATTGCCCTTAACTGCATTTTTCATGATGAGATTATCATTTGTAAGTGAGCTAGATAATTTCTGTCTGGAGCCAAAATAACTACAGAGTTTTAGGGTACTTGTTTCTGTTTTTAATTCTTTCTCTTGTCTTGCTACAAGAAAAATACTGCAACTAATCTGTAACAAAGAAAAATGTTTGTACTTCCTGTTCAGTGATTATTGCTCTGACGTTCACTTACGATGTTTTTAAGGTTCACTATTTTATGTTCACTAAATGATCTGTAAGGTCCCTTCCAACCCAACCCGATCCTGCACGATTCTATTATTATCCTGTTGTCTTTTTCACACAGCATACTGAAGTATCACACTAATTTAACAGCGTATCAAACTGTATTTGTCCACATAAGCCCCATGAGAGGAAAGAAGCAAATCTAGAGCAGAAGCAGTATGCGACTGATGTTGTAATTGTGCAGCTTTCTACCTCCAAAATCACAAAAATAGCAAAGAGAGCATTTCAATGGATCTGATGCTTTTATAAAGCCACTTCTATCACTTCTCTCTTTTTTATCTGCGTACGCAGTGAGGTTGGGAGTGGAAAAAGTATCCAAACAGGGTTACGTTAGTACAGCAGCAGCAGAATTAGAAAAAGCAAAGTGTTCATCTAACCCATGGTTTGTTTTATACTTACTGTCTGTTTTTCTATCAGATTCCAGGCCAGAATCAAACTGCACAGTTTTAAGGAAACACACAGCTAAAGCACACTCCACTTCCTAGGTATTGACTGCAAAGAAAAACACCTGCCTGTGACGTACCTTCAGACCCATTTCTTCGTTTCGGTACTTCCTGAAATAGTCTGTTCAGGTTCTGGCCTGGATTCTCTGTTGAAAAACAAGTTTGGTAAGAACAAAACAATCAGGGGATGGTTGCTCTGACATCATGGGCTCTGTGACATGAGAAGCTGGCAGCCTGTCTCTGAGCACAAGGCTCTGAGCTGCCCTTGCCCCCTCGAGCCCTTGGCTGAGCACGGTTGGAGCTGGCTACTTGGGAAGAAGCGAGGCTGGCTGATTTGTTAATAAAGATTACAGCTACGTTCGGAAAGGAGATTAGACAGATATAAATAAACGTCTAGAGATACCAAAAATGAAGAGGTTAAAGATGGGCAGATAATCCCCTCAAGTACAATCATCAAAAGGAAGAACAGATTATAAATCGACCAGCGTGCGCTTTCAATTAAACACAGTCTAGCAAAATCCTGTCTTTTCCAATAGTTCTTGACTGTAAACAACTTACTTTCCAGTTTCTCTAAATGTAAATCTCAGTCTTTGCTTAAGATGAATCACAATGAAACGCATGTTATTTCTTAAAATCACTGCCTGAAATATGCAAAGCTGCTTCAAATCAGGATTCCTTTTATATTACTCATCTCATGCATCACCTGGGATATTTTGTCAAACACTTTGGGACAAAAAAGATCACGTAAGACACAACAAAAGTCTGGTCGCAATAAACAACCCCAAATAAAAACGTCCGGGTGTTTCTGAGGGCTGATACCCTTAGTTGCTACTGACCCTTTTCACTCTGTATTTAGCTCTGACAGGGGGCTATTGGGAAGTGAGGGATGTGAGTGTCCCTGCTGCTTGCCCCTGCTGACAAACACAAGTCAGCAGCTAAAAAAAGCATAAGCAAAGATACTAACCTGCTTGAGGGCTGAAAAGCAGAGTTAGAAAGCTGTACTTTCTGTACCTGACATCTGATCTGGGTGAACACAGCACCAACACACAAATGGCCCCATACAAGGAACGTTCCAGTTTGTAACACCGGTAACTAAGAGGAAAACAGGGCGAGACTCTCGGCCGGTGAGCGCTTACCTCTTTGTCTACCCTGGATGCTGCGAAGAGCCAAGATGTTCTGCTCATCCGAGAGGAACTGCTTCATCTTATGAAATGGCTCCTTGCCTCTCACAGTCAGTTTATTCCATGGCTTTGGCCGGGCTAGTATCTCACTCACAGACCCTTGCGACAGTCCCAACACATAATGTCCAAATATCCGCTGTCCAATATTGTGCTTGATCAACTGCTCTTTCACCTGACGTGCAATTTCGGCTGTGTCTATTTCCTCGCCTTCAGAGATGCTCCCAGCACTTTCTGACTGGCTGGGAGACGGGGCCATGCCATTTACATCCGGACTTTGTTGTAATGGACTTTGGGAAGATATGGAGTTTGTGCTGTAAGGACCTGTTGAAAAAATCATGCTTGTGCTTCCTGCTTCCTGCATTGCCTTGGAGTAGAAGGACTGCATTAGCTGTCGCTGGAGGAGAGAGTTTAGTGCAAATTTTCCTGTGGAGGCCAGGGGTAAGCTGGGGCTCGCCAGGGATGAGCTGAAAAAGTCTTGACTTAAACCCGTTGGTGAGAACTGGTGTGTACCATTAGTATTGGAAGCCTGCTCCCCCGTGTTGCGGAGCAACTGAGAAGGAGGGGAGGCCGGCAAGGTTGCAGGACGCTGACTCTCAGGCTGGTCTTTCCCTTTTCTCCTGGCTGACCCTACAAGGAAGGTCAAACATAATGCATTATGGGGGATCAAAGAGGGAAAAACCAAGATAAAAAAATGCAAAGTTTGCCCCGCAAAGGGAAAAAGTGCAGATTTCCAAGGGCCAATGAAGTGGCGGTGGGGTTTTTGTTTTCATTTTGGTTTTGGTTTGTTTTCATTTGGTTGGTGGGTTTTTTTTCCCCATAATTGAAATTTTAATAAGCCAAACAAGGCCCCCAAAACAAACAACATGCATTTCATGTTTGCACCTTTCTTGTATGTTGCAGCCTGGAGAATCCCCCTTACAAACATTAAAACTAGAACAAGTACATGAAGTGCAGTTATACATTTAAAATAAATGCAGTTACAGACAGCAAGTCTCTTTGTTGTCTCTCATTCAAGACATTACTCATTGGACCTGACTGAACCCAAATGCAGCAAACATTTACATTTTGGAACAAACCAATTTGAATAATCACCATTAGGTGGATGCACCAAGATCACTCAGTTAAAAGTCATAAACCGCTTCAGAATTCAGTAATCCCAGGGCCAGTGGCAACTTTTAACTTCCTTCCAGCTGCAAAAACCATAAACATTCAAGTATCTGGAAATTCCATGACTTGCCATTTAAAAAATGTGCACACAAGATGTAAAAAGCCCACATTAGGAAAGCTAAACGGCAAACACGCTTTGCTAAGAAGAAAGTATTTTGTTTTTCCAAGCTGACCTGCTGTAGTATATCTAAGTGTATCAGACAGGAAGATTATTGTGTTCTACATGCAAACATTTTGCATAACATTGTGTGTGGGGGAAGAGACTTCTGGTGCCACAGATGAATTTGTTCCCAAAACAGAAGACAGCCTCAAATGCTACCGCTTGGTACATCCTGTATTGCCTCTCTTCCCTAACCTTTAAAGACTCTTTGAGGTCTCCAAGTTTGATTTTCTAATCCAGCCTATAAAACTGCAGAAATCCAGCATCATTCAGTGCTCTTGTCACCTCTTACTCTTTCTGCCATGCATTAGCTCAGACATTCATCTCTCACTCAGCCCTCCCTCCCTTTACAAGACAGGAAACAACCAGAATAGCTGAAAATCGTATCAACCTACCACTCAGGTCACTATTTGTGATACGCAGCGTGGCGTTCTCAGACTGCAAGGAGCGGTTCTTCTCCAGCAGCAGCACCTCCAGCGGTTTAGATGCATCCTAAAGAAAATCAAAGTGGGAGGTTTGTTTCTAAAAGCATTAAGAGTCTCACTCAGGCACTAAAAAGGATTTCAGAAGAAGAAAACAACTGCTCATCCCTGCTATGAATGCAGCTAGGGAATTCGCCATGCATATATTTGCAGGAATCACTCAGTGCTCCTATGTGAGCCATAGAAGAGATTCACTGTTTAGTTTTCATTGTAAATCATCCCTCAATTCTGCATTATTTTGGAACGTGCAATGGAACATTCTCTTAATCCTACTTATTTTAAAATGGTACTGGCATGCCTTCTATTTAAAAGCTGCAGACTCCTTTTAATCTGATTAAAATAGGAGTTAACATTATTTCTTCTAGGTTGACTGACCCAAGTTGAGCATTCCCTTGAAATGCTGCATTTCAGCAAAATCACTTTGCTCAAAACCAAAGTCACTCACAGAAACCTGTGTCTGATTTACCTTCCACTGAATATCTACCCCTTGATCATTAAAAAACATATTGAAAATTAATCCCTGTGTATTGCTATTCGGTTCAGATTTCGGAAGCAGGAATTTAATTCATAACCTTTAAACCTCATTTGCTGGAATACAGCAGAGCTTTCTCAGTACTCAAAGGGTTGTTTTCTTTGGTGAGCATTATTTTCAAGGCTAACAAAGACTTAAAAATGGTAAAATCCTTGCTCAGGGTACTGTCAGGGCAAGAAACATGCAAATCTCAGCATAGCTGTCAAACAACTCTAGTACGTTTAAAAGACCCAACTCCACAACATTATGACTATCCACTCCAGCACAGCTGAAACGTCATTCTCTGTCTTGACCACTTTAAAGAAATTAACAGGCAAAAAATGTTCAGTTCAGCTTTTTGCATAAGGAAACATCAGGAAAACAATGCTCAACCCATATGTCTCAACAGCCACAGGAAACTGCCCGCGCCAACACCAAAGAATTGCAAGACAAATATTTTCTTCATTAACTGAATTGCTGAAGTAAGAAAGAAAACAAAAGTAGGTTCAGTACCTGCGCACCAGAGCTTTCAGATGGTGCAAACTCCATGGATTTCAATATACTGTGGAAGGCAGAAAAACAATTATTGTCTATTTCTTCTTTTCATGACAACTCCACTAATGAGCATTAACATTATCACTTCCTACTCTCCAGCAACACTACATGTGATAACAACTTTCCTTGCAGTAGCCCAGTCTCATAATGAATACAGAATAACCATTCAAACTAGTTATTGGATAAGAAAATTCTCTCGAACGTCATCTAAATCATTCCATATGCAATCCCACCAGGCCAGTTTAAGGCATAAATTTAAAGGTTAATAAGGATCTAACATTTTAAGCTGTCAGAAGCGATATAAATTTCTGTGTGAAGCTTGAAGGGAATGAAGAAGTTGTAGCAAAGCAACAAAACAGGGGAATCACCACCCCAATCACAGTACTTTATATAATAAACACCAGCTCACACAGCAATGAAAATATGCACAAATAATCCTCCCAACCAAGACGCTACAGGCTAAAAGGCAGTTTGTCATTTTAATAGCCTCCTAGTTCTATGGCAAAGGGAAGACAAAATGGGACAGTATTTCTTGAGAAATATGAAAGATCCAAGTATTTATAAGTACATTAAGAGAAGAATCTGATAGTCTCCTTGTCAATATTTTATATAAATACTGTGCAGTTGAAGGATGTCTCCCTTCAAAGTCTTTCAGTGAGAGTTGTATCATCTGGCAAGCAACAATCTTACAGGAATACAAACTTATTACTCTGCTTCGTCTAATGAATTGTTTTAAACAGGCCTGCTGCAGGCAGGACGTTAACGTCTCAGACTGAAGCAATAAATGATTTCAGCTTCTCATCGTACAAAGATGACATTCATTTGCTGAGGAAAAATACCTAACCAGATATAGACGGTGTTTATACAGCATTTTTTTCAAGTATAAAGCACCAGGAACTTTGTGTGGCAGGAAGAATATGTCCAACCATGTATTATATGTGGAAAATGAGGCAAAAAAAGGCAGAAGGCCAATACTAAGATGTAGGGACTGGTTGGGAATGCCACCAGGAGTCAGCTGAACACCCAGCACTCATTAACTGCCTCAGACCATGTGGCGTCCAGCTCCTCTATAAATCTGTCTGTGCTTTAATCCAGAATTAGATGTCCATGAAGTGACACTCTGGGAATCAGTAGGCTCAGTGAGTCATTCAAGATCACTCAAAGCCATAGCAAATCCAAGGGAAAAAGAAGTCATTCCAAGACAGGAACCTCATGCGTTGCATACTGTGTTAATTCTGACAGGCACTCCTACAAATATAATTATTAATAAAATTACAAAACTCTGGCCATCAGTTTCATCATACGGGGTCACTGAATGACACCTCTTCCCAGCAGAAATCACTGTGGGGTAGAGCCACCATCCAATACACAAACACATAAAGTAATGCCATTAAGAGACTGCTTTACGTGGGCATAACAGCTCACCCACATGCAAAAGTGCCTCTTTTCTGCTATTAATGGAATTGTGCCAGTCAAGGAGAGAGGCTGTGCATTAATGGCTTGAGTTCTTAGAGATCCTGACATTATATTGACATCACAGGCATGTTTACTCAGGTTACTAATCACTGCTGAAAGCAAGTGCTTCTTGGGACATCTCCCCAGAGCCACAGCTCTGTCTACAAGGACTCCAAAGTTCTGGGGGAGACAAATATGCAGAGACTCATCTAGGGAACACCCTTTGAAAAGGGGGGCTGAAAGCACAGCAAGCAGTAATCACAGATTCATAGAATGGTTTCCAATGGCGTTAGAACTGGGTGAGCTTTAATGTCCCTTCCAACCCCCTGCCATAGTCAGGGACACCTTCCACTAGAGCAGGTTGCTCCAAGCCCCATCCAACCTGGCCCTGAACACTGCCAGGGATGGGGCAGCCACAGTTTCTTTGGGCACCCTGTTTCAATGCCCTCATGATGGTCGAATAAGGAAACCCATCCGAATTTTTTAAAACCCCTATTTTTTACTGCAAATTATCACGTAACAAACTTCCCGTGGCAAATCCCAGCTGTTTCTCCCATTTCGGCTCAGATCAGCAGCACACTTGCGATGCCGGTCTCCCAGTAATCCCCACTTACCGCACTTTAGTCTGCCATGCAGAGCAGTCCTGGAGCATACAGCCGCCTTCCTTCAGGATGAGACTAAACCAAAGGAAGCTGCACGCTCTGAAGGAGCTGGTGTGATGTTCTCTGACCACTACTGTGCTGCCTACAGAGCCAGACTGAAACCAGTCCCACGTGCAAAGTAATCCTAAATGTATTTAGTCTGTACATGGGGTTCTTGGTATCAAATGGCCAACTTTGAAGCCCTGATCCTCTTGTGCCCTCCACTTGCACCAGCTGCTCTACCAATGCATTTTTATACTGAGTACCTGCTGCCAGCTGGGACCTGCAAAAAGGATCCTGAATACTGCAGCAGCTGTATTTTCCACTGAGCTTGGAGCAGGCATGTACATTCAGACCTCATCTGGAAACTTACTGACCTCTGCCTGCTTAAAGTGTATTCTCTGCTACCTGGAATAGCCTTCTGGTCATTTCACAGGTAATTTCCTATACACTTAGAACCCAAAATACACTAAAATCCAGGCTGATGCTATCTCAAATTGCCCTTGGAGGAATATTCACTACAGCATGTTCATTTTCTCAAAGTAAAAGCTAAGTATGTCAAAAATGACTCTCCAAATGTGTCACAAACAGGAATAGGAGGAAGCAAAATGTTTCCCCTTTGGATTCCAGGAATATCTTTGCCCATGAGATTTCAGCTCACTCTGCTGCTCAAGATCAGTTATCTGCTCTTTAAAGGAAAGATCTTGTGACTTGAATCTGCACATCTAAGACGACTTGAAAGATCTTACTCTAAAGCAAAGTGTGCATTGGGACAGCTCAACTTTCTGATTGTATGATCCTGACTGCACAGGCAGGAGGGTTAGCACTGTTGTATTACTCAAGAGGGAACTGAAAGTACACACAGAGCTCTCAGATCTCAAAAAAAAGGTTTAAAAGCCATTTGGCACAAAAGCCAATGCAGCAACAAAGGAATCCTCCCATCCAGATCTTGATGTGGACCACTTTAAGCTCCTCCAAGGTCAGAAGCCGGCTGACATTGAGATCCCTCAGCCTCGAATGCCTCTAACATCCTTGGGAGGATTAAGGAAAATACATCAGTTCTCAAACACAAAAGGAGTTTATTCTCTTCTTCCTTACTGACAAGATATCTTTTTTCTTGGTGTGTATGCATGTTATGAGCAGCTCTTTCTCGGTCAGTGTTGCAGGGTACAAAGGCAGCACAGTAGGATTCAGTATGAGGGATACCAGATCTACAGCAATAGACTTTTCATAGCTTCACTTCAGATGAGACTGTCACTCTCAGATGCCCATTTAGATTTTGGCACATCTTTTGGACCAGATGGGAGCAGAGAGGGTGGCATGAGTGAGCTGCTGTGACAATGCAGCACTGCAAACATCTTCAGTGCTCGCGCAGAGGGTCTTAACACCCCACACCTCCCAGTAGGATGGTATGTGGACCCTAGGCCACCTACAAGGTAGCTGTCTGTCCCTCCAAAGTCAGCAGATAAAAACTCTTATCCACAAATTATGGGATATAAAAGCTGTAACAGCCAGGAGAACAGAGTTAATTTACTGGCACCCAACAAGGGTCACTTGCAGGAGATTTTCCCATCTATTTCACTGCAGGCTCATCTTGAAATAACAGGAACAGGCAGAAGCACCATATGAATACTCTGGTGTCATGGCTTCTCCCGGACCTCTTACCTGCCTTCCCTCATGTCAGTGTTGTAACAAAGAAAAAGTAAAAACCAAAAGGCTTTATTGCCAGAAATATAAGGATATAAAAGAGTTTCATAGCACTTAAAACTCATTTGCTGCTTTGGCAAATTCACATTTAGTAACTCATGTAGCAAATGGAGAGGTTGTGGCCTCATTCCTATTCACTGATTTACATGAGGGCATAAAGCAGCTGAAATCTGAAGCTGAGTTTCCTTCATTCAGGAGAGAACATGGATGTATTTATCCATATCACTAAAAGAATGATGTTTTTTTTGAGACCAGTTAATATTCAGGTATAATGACCAAAGAAACAGTCAACTGAAACTATATCCTTCCATCAGGGTGTGCTGCAGCTGGCACTGAACCAGAACCGCAGTCAGCATGGCTTGAATGTAATAGCATCGAGGGCCTGGGCAGTCCCTGGGCTTGCAAAACCAAACGCGCTTTCCACATTCTCCAGGGACGTGTAAACAAAAGCACATGACTCCCAGCCCCATCTGAAATACCTCATTAAACAAGGTAACATTTTTTCAGGCTTCTTAAAATACACACAAAAATGCCAGAAAGATGAAAGAAGAGATGGAGTTTCTTGCAGTTATTTAAACCATGACACTAAACGTATTTCCAGTCAAAAAAGTTCTCTTCTGAACCTGACAGCTTATCTTGTTAGAGTTCAAAATAAGGCTCATTTAAGTCTCTTAAAAAAGCCCCCTGGAATAGGAAGAGGCTGTTTGTGGCTTTAGTTTAAAACCACAATGTATTAGCAAAAATATACAGTGAAACAAGCCCAGCATTAAAATGGTAAGTGCTGAACAGCGGCTGGCAAAAGCAGAGAAAAGGTATTATGGCCAAAGGCCCTGCATTTAATTCTTGGTCCACATCACACTCAGCTGTTGGCTGGGGATTTTTAAAGAGTCATCCACCTAAAATACCACAGATTTTCAAATGCTTTACCCTTGGTGGACGATAGTTTTAGCACCTTTTCTTCATGACACCTGTATTATTTGCTACTGCGATACTGCTGCAATGAAAAGGAGCACTCTCAGAGACAGCATCAGTTCTGGATGCAATTTCTGCCAATATTCCCAATTTCCCCATCTTTGTGGGTTTGACTGAATTCTTTATTGTTCCGAGATCACAGATTTGTGGCTTCATTTAACAAGCATTGTTAAACTACAGTTTGTGAAAAAATTACGGTAAGCATTTAACACTTACTTTAATTCTTTCTTAACCTCTTCATAATCAGCCTGTCCTTTCAGTTTTTCTTCCAGTTGCTTTAAAAGAAAAAAGATGGATTTAATTATTTAGGTTTTTTTCTGCCTGCAGGCTTTCAAAATCGTCTTTAAATTATTCCATATATACAGCAGCACAAGTGAGGGTTAATGACTCGAACCTAATTTACATGTATTAGAAAACAAACTATAACCAATTCAACATAAACACAATTATACCTCACTTTTCCTTTGTTTACAGCGTGCCAAGCGTTACAGAATTCAGTAGGTCCCAATTTGGCTGTTTGCAATGTCACTGTCACGTGTTCAGGAAAGAGGTCGGGGAAGAAGGTATTAGAAATGGGGGCAGCTGAGATCTTTATGCAACTGATAAATGGAATAACCAAGCAGGATGCTTTGGCACACACTGTATTCTTCATACGAGAGGTCCTGATAACCTTATCTACATGGAAAAGAATGAAGAAGACTGAAGACGCTGCTGTTGACTGGAACAAGCCTTAGGCTTGTCAGACTTCTACAATGCCTCATGCTCAAACAAAACAGCTGTACAAAGTCATTTTACAAGCATTACTTATTGCAATAACTAAATGATTACACACCGGAGATGAAGCACTGAGACCAACTCAGCAGGTCTTTTTGCTCAGGTCTGCCTGACCTGGGGCTGTCTCAATGGTTTCTCTTTGGTCTGAAGATGCCACAAATGTTGAAATAAACCTTCCAACACAATGCTACACATTTGGACCTTACCCAGCTCCCAACAACAGTGCTCATCACTACAGGATAAATGCTTCAGGAGGCCTAAAACATAGTGACACATAATTGGTGCCGTTACATTGCTTTCAGAAGCCACATTCATTTCCCACTAATAATTTCTTTGCTTAGTACAGGCACACCTGATCTAAGCAAAGAAAGAACAGAACTTACTGGCTTGCAACTTCCACGGGTAAGTTCAGGCTAGCTCCGCTTCACTTCATTTTTTGGTGTAAAAATTGTCACAGAAACCCAAAGGTCACAGGAAACAGAAATAACACAAGGACAAAGCACCCTCAAAGACAGAGCATCCGCTTTGAAAACGAAAGGAATATATGACATGAAAAAGGAGAGGAGGGCTTTATGTCCAGAAGAGGCTGCCTTCAGAGGAGAAGTGAATTGAAGAAGCCACTCCTGGGCTGCTTGCTGAATGCAGGAGGAAGGCAGGGAAGGCTTGCAGTGAACTTGGATAATTATAGCAAACTCATTTTAAATGCAGCCCCATAAAGTTCCACACCAGCACAGTTATGGGTGAACAGCAGGGCTGGGACACATGAACAATTAGAAGTAGGAACCTCTTAACCCAAGTAAGCCCGTGTGTACGTGTCACCCATCTCAAAGCTACCAATGGGTACAAGCAGCAAACCTGAACACTGTAATACAGAACCCACAGATCAGCAAGTCCATTATCTGAGCCATCTTAATGATTTAAATAAGGCTTCTTCAGGTGACAACAGCAGCATGATGGGGCTTTGTTGGATTTCCAGCTATTTTGCTATCTATTAAAGGATTCCCTGTCAAGCCCTTTCCAGTTTAGGCATCGCTGGCATTTCCTTCTTGCCATTAGTACACATATTAAAAAGCGGTGACAAAGTGGACATCCATGTTATTAATATACCACCCTCTTAAATTCTTGTTCCTGCTTTTTGACACCATAATCCACAATCCTTAGTCACTGCTGACAAGAGGCATCTCCCAGCAGTAATGGATGGGCCCTGCTCTGGCAGCTGCTCAACAAGCAACTCTTAATGGATCAGCACCACTGTTACAAGAAAGCAGAAACTGTTAAGTGTGGAATTTGCACTCTGTGGAACACTGTTGAAACAAGTGGCCTCTTAAAAAGTCCTATGTCCTAAATCCTTAGCCATCAGTAACTCATGCAGTCATTCAGATGTGTTAAAAAGACAGAAAAGACACACATCTTTTAGCCATTTCACCAGACATGTCCTGCCTTACCAAATTCCACTTACTAACTGGAATTATAGGGATTACTGACTTTGCTTTATATAGAAGAGACAGTTGTACAGGTGTTCTGGTCCTGGATAATGTGACCAGGAAAATCCTACAAATACTAAAGATGTCTGAGGTTCTGATAACCTCCAACATGTGTTGAAATCTCATTATGCAAATGCAGCACATAACCCCAGGGCCCAAGGGTCACTTCAGTCCTCTCAGTTTTAAGAAGGGCCAAGCTTCAAAGTGCCATGAGTTCAAGCAGCTTTTCAAGCTACAGCTTGATGCTGAAAACCAGAGTCACTTTAACAGGGAATCCAGCTGGACTTTTTAATGCACCAGATGAGGCTCAGTAAGAGTGGAGAGGGATCTTCAAATGAAATCAGTGAGCCAGAGAGCCCTCGGTACTGGGCAGGAGACTGAGCATCATGGCTGACAGCTTTAAAACTCCAATGCGGGCAATGGGAGGATGGTGCTGAACACCACACAGCATCTTTCAGCTCCCCCGGCCATCTTCTAACTGCTTCTTGCTCCTCTAAAGCTTAAAGCAAGGATACACTATAATTCATCTCTTCCTTAACTGCTGTGACTTGTAGCGTTTTGGGGTCTACAGGATAGCTTTTACAGTAGGGATAACTGGCTATTTACACTAGCCCTCAGTATATAAAGCACTGGAATAAATTTAAAACAAACAATATCTTGGATTAATCTGTTAGTTCCTTATGCAAGGACACGCCAAGAAAAAAGCCTTTTGTAGAAACAGAGATAAAATACAAGAAAAGCTAATGATTCCCATTGTCATGCAATCTATACTAAATGTAACTGTATAGGGATATGTTTTACCCTGAAAATATTTCTGAGACTTTTAGGTGCAAAGCCCAGTTAGTAAAAAAAAAAGATGTTGACAAAATGAAGCTGCTTTGGACTCTCAGGTACTTGTATACTATTATAGCGGGTTGGCAACCAGCAATATTTTACTTTGAATTGTATAAAACCCACATACATCCATCACTTCCAAGTACCTACTATAGAGATTGTTGCCATGGAAAATCTGCACCTAAATGTATACTTTACTAAACAATATAAACTAACAACTGAGAATGCACTACCTGTATATAAGCAGACTCTTTAGGCTCTTGGCATCTTCCCAGTGAATGACTGTTTTAAAATGTATTAGTATGGTAATTGTCACAAAGAACCCTGTGAAATGCACAGAACATGGTATAACAAAGGTTCAAGCTGTGAGACAATCTGGAGGAGCTAATATCTCGCACTAAATATCAACCTGCTTAGTTCAGACAAAACACGTCCTAACATTCTCCAACAGACAATAATGCAGGGAGCCAGAGGACAGAAGGAACGGAGTGGTGGTGTTTTACACACTAAATCAGAAGATATTCCATGTTAAGGAATTGTCTTGCATTTGTTGTGTGATTAAACTCATGTTGGAGCATACACAGATTGGCTCCCCTCCTATTTTTAACAACTGAGTAGGTTATTACTGTGTCTTTAACTGAAGTGTCTTAGGTAAATAGCATGTGCTGTATTAATGGCTCTAAAACATCTAAAAACCCCCATAAGACTAATGTCATAGTTTAGAATGATAAACTAAAAAGCCCATATTTAATTAACCCAGGTTATCTGATGGATCTCTTTGCTAACTAGCACTGCCTTATTGTAACTGGGTAGCAGGGAAGCTCTAACACCCAGCAACAAAGGGTTAATATAAATACGATTAGAAAAGACTTGTTACTAGAGGACATGTTTTGATTATTAGATCAGATGAAGATAAAGAAGCAATAATTCTGAAAGTATTTCTGTATTGTTTCATTAAGTCACAGAGTATTAAAGAATTCCCCCAAGATATGGTCTGAGAACATTGCTTTAATTTGTGAAACTGTGATTCATTTTTGGTGGAGGCAACCATTACAATCTCAGTTGAAGCAATCCCTCTATAATCAAACATGAGATCAACACATTGCCACTGAGATTTGGGTCTTCTTACAACAGATCTCAGACACAGGTTTTCCCAGCACTTAGGGGTAAAAGCATGTATTGTGAAATATTTTTATACTGCAACAAATAAGGTTAGAGAGGGTTGAAATGACTCAAATTTTATCAGTAGAGTCACTGCATCAGACACTATCAACAAGAACCTAAATACAGAGCATTACCCGGGCAAGCCTATGAGAAAATGGAAGGAGATTACTGTACTGAAAATCAAAGGCTTGCTCTGTAATTTCTATGATCCTATTCCCTTTGAAGTTAATGGCTAAACTAATACTGACCTCACCAGGAACATGCTTTATTCCAAGAAAATCTGTCAAGTGCAAGGACTCAAGGTATTTTCTATCAGGCTTTATGAAAAAATAAAAAAACCCTTTAAGACAGGTGGAGCCAGCAAAATGTGTTGCTCAAAACCAGGCCAGCTCCTTCCTCCCTCATTAAGAGTAGTGCTCACATAGTGACAGATGGGCAGAGACTGATACTGTCAATACAGGAACCTAAAGGGTTTCCTTTGCTCTACTGAATTTTCATCAACATTTTCATAAAAAAGGCTGTCTGAAGACACGCTGAAAGCAGGCTGAATGCAACACTTCTGCTTTCATTCCTAACAGCCATTTCTCCACATAAATCAAACCGCGCCAGAGCAAAACCAGTAAGCCCTAAAAAATGTCAGAATTAAAACAATTTGTAAGAGTTTCAATTGAATATTAAATCATTGTGATAGAGGAAAGCTGCCCACGCCACAGGCAGAGGTAAGTGGGGACTATCAGCCTCCTGCTTTCAAAAAACCCTCAGACTATAAGACCTGCAAAAACTCTGAAGTCTTTAATGGAATAGATAAATTTATCTTGTTTACACTTTGAAGCTCATAGATGGTAGAACAATGAAAGAGACCGGATTTACAGGAAACTGATTCATAACACATGTTAGGAACCATTTTTCATGCTTACTGATAGACTAAAACTCTGTGGGTTAGTGCACAAAGAAAGTGAAGCTGCTGAAGCAAAAGGTAAAAGGGTCACTCACAAAATGATTAGATGCTTCTTCTAGGTTTAGTGCAGTGCTGCTGGTATGGAAATGAGCTCAGGACTGAACTGCTAATTCTAAATGGGAATTACTGTGCAGCAAATACACAGCTAAAAGAATGAACGAGATGGTTATTAAGGCTAAAAAGCAGTCTCTCTGATTTTACTGGGTTTTATGCTCTAAATAATACACTTCCCTTTGCCAGTGGAGAGAACTGGAGTGGGCAGCAGGTAAATTCAGGCAGATCATAAACATTCCTGGCAAATCTTCAGTAACAATCAGTGGAGTGGGAACTGAAAGTTTTAAAAGCGAACACAGATTTGCTGTGCTGTTTCAGTTCAGCTACTGCACTCCAGAGCCATGGTAAATATATGATGGGGTTTGCTAGTGGTTGTAATTCTAAAGGTAGCCATGTTCTGCACAAACAGATTTCAAAACAGTGAGAACTAAGTCAATCATATTTCAACAAACCTGAGATCACTTAGAATAAAATGCCACAGAAAACAGAATTCAACAGCACCCTGAAGAAGTCAGGGGCTTTTATGGTGCCTCTCAGAACCACAGCAAACTTCCGCCAGTAATACCCAACATTGGTAAAAAGGCTGTATCCTTTGAAAGGTGCTGAGCACAGAACTGAGCCTTACTTTAAGTGTGCTGTTCTTGGCAGTCAGCTGCTGCTCCAGCTGGGAGATTTGGCTGCTGGAGTTCTCCCGCAGCTTGGTGAGGCTGCCCTGGAGTCTCTGGACATCTTCTACCAGCTGGGCGATCTCCCGCTCCTTCGCAGCCAGCTCCACCTCCAAGCTGGACCGTGTCAGCACCTCGATGGCCTGCTCCTAATGGGAAAACAGGAAACAAAACAAAGGCAAAAAGCTTGAATTCAGAGCAGGTAGGTAAGGATCAAGCATGGCTCCGCGTGGCACGAGAGACACAAACAACTTCTAAAGCTGGGACTCCTGCGGTTGACTGCGTGAATCTGGAAGATGAACCCTTCTACTCCCCAGCACAGCTCTTTGGTAAAACAGGGCTAATGGGGAGAATAAATGTCCCTATTTCAGAAGTGCACTGGAAAGATGCAGCCATGAAAGTCAAAGGATTCTATTTAGATCTATTTATTATTAATAGTCCAAATGCTTTGACAACTATGAAAATCTGTGCTTACAAAATACTAATCAGATAAAATGTTCGGAAGTAATGGAGCAGAATTGCTTAATCAGGAAGGGCAGAGCCGTGTGCCTTTGGCTGTCTGTAGGCATGCTGCACAGCTCAGGCAAAATAGTTAGAAATGGCCCCAAACTGCTGCTTCCAATACGCTTCCTCCTTGCCTGAAAATTGCTCACTGTTAAACATTATTGCTAGCAACTAAAACCTCTTCTCCACGGGGATGAAGATAGATTTGACAGCTGTAAGACAAGGCCATTCTCCCTTCGGCCTCCACTTTTAGAGATTCCCTTTCCCAAATCAGGATCTTTCTTCTTTCCATTTCCCATGGCTGCAAAATCAGTCCTCAAGTCTGAAACCTCCTCACTGGACCCAACCTTCCAGTAGGACAAGAATGAAGAGGGACAGGGAAGTTAAGAAGAAGGCAGATCTATTCAGAAAAGGTAACACAGACTAAATGTACCATTGCTTTTGTCTCCTTTTGTGTTAAGAGATCAATAGCTATAATGCATCGGAGCTCTGAACCTCTCTTCCATGAAGAACACACACAAATTCTTGTGCAGACCTGGGGAGCATGATGCAGCCCAATAAAGAAGGTACATTCCATTATGAAGCCTAAAACACATCTTACAAAGGTTAATGGCTGCTCCTCAGAAAACACCAGTGAAGGAGGAAAGAATCCATTTACCACAAGAGACACACACAATGATCGTAAGCATTATACCAAAGATCCTACGGCAAAAAAGCTGAAAACTCAACCCCCCTGTGCTGTCACCCAAGCACTTTCCTTACAATTCAAGATGACATTGCAGCAGGTTGAAATATACTCCATCCCCTCTCTGCTGGAAAATACAGGCACAACAAAATGCCTTTTCCATATCTTCTAAACACTTAGCTTGATTCCCAGTGACTGCATAGCATTGTATCTCAGAAAGCTACATGTAGGAACAGCAGTTAACAACGCTTTCCTATTACACTGAATTATACTTTTAACTTGAAAAAACCTCTAATTTGCTTGCATGAAACATCACAAGTTATATAATCATCTGCTGCTTGTGCCTATTGAGACTCGAACGTAGAGTCTGAAATAAGATAGATAATGATCATTTTCCTCCTGCAGTAGTTGTCATATTAAATATAAATGAAGTGCAGAAGTACTATTAAATACAAGAAAGACCTAATGTTAAAATAATGATAAGACTAGGACACGAGATAAGAAGAGGCAGGTAATTCAGAGTTACAAGTGATATTCAGGCTTCTTATTTTGTATTTTGCAGCCTGCTTGTCTATCTTCTGCCATCTCTGAGAAAATACTGGGTCGTATTAATAGACGACCAAACAGATCTGGAGGACTTAGGGTTTGTTACTCATTCTCTGCAAATGTATTTTAAAGGCAACCACGTGTTTCTCCGATATCAGTGTCAAGCATGTATATGGCTTGCAAGTAAAAAAACAATGTAACGAGCCCAATTCCTTTTGTTTGGTAAATCTGCTGCTTAGAAGAAGACTAAATTTCACTTAATTGCATATTTACATTTAAACACTCCTATTTTTCCTTTGGCAAATAAAAATCAAAGTAATCTGCCTGCTCATCTGTGATACCTGTTAACCCAGGACCAGCTGGAGTCCTGTAACAGCACCCTGTGCCCGCAAGGTCTGATCAGCAGTCAGTGCTACCAACCTCCCCAAACAACACTGCTTGCTTTATTTAGAGACACACAACAAGCAACCAAACCTTTAGGAGCACAGGATATCTTCTCCATTTTCTAAGCTTCTTTTATCGGATTTATAGGTGTAAGTTTCAGTTTAGATATACCCAGTGAAAACTGGAATGATACAGAACTTACTTCCAGTTCCTCTGACAGCCCATACACTATGAATAACAAGAATGAGCAGGCAGCAGGTCCCCACTAATGCAACCAACACTGGGCAAAGTTGGTTCCCTTGGTCTGAAGCTCCACACCTCCTCTGTGCCCTTCAGGCAGGCAAGTGCTGATGGCCCACCAAGTCACTGTTCATTACACTGCATCAATCCCTTTATTTTTCCTTTGCTGATGCCCTTACTGATGTGATTTAACTTCTGAGTCGCTGCTATCCTCCTGGACCAGCTGAGGAGAGCTATGGATCACCATACCAGTCACCTCTATCCTTCCCGTGGTCTTCTCCAGCCACCAGGCCCCTCAGAAGCTGAACCAAACCGCCATCCCAAAGGAACACAATTCCACTGCAGTTAAAAATTACTCCAAACAGGTATTTTTATAGCTGTGAGCTTAAATTGAAAGAGTTGTTCTGTAGGAATGTCAGAAACCTGTAAGAGCCAGTAAATATTTTCTCTCACCACATCAGGTGCCTTCTGGATCTGCGTAGCAAGTTGAAGAGATTTGTTAGCTGACGAGAGCTGCTCCCTTAAGGTCTCTGCCTCTCTCTGAGCCACCTCTGCCCTCTGAAGGAAATGAAAAGGGGTGAAAAGAGAAAGTACATTCAGTTTAACAACTGACAATTATTACAAGAACATTCATCAATTCATGCCTGACTGAATATAATTGATTTTCCTAAACACTCAACCTAATAAATGTTAGGAAAAAACATAGAATGTGATGGATTTTTATTTTAAACAGTACAAGGAAGAAATAATTGAGCGATTATGACAGTAATTTAACGCTAGGAGCAAGGAATCCCCTGCTGATACTAATGCTGCGGCCCACTGAATTTCCCAGACTGAATAAATACAAGTGGAAATGGAGTCTTTTTATTCAATTTCTTTCTATTCTCATAGACCAAGCAGATTTTATTGCAAGGTTCCTCATGGGAATAATTCTCACGGGTGAATGCTGAATTAAAAGATATTCTGACCATTCTCTCTAACACACACACACACAATGTTGTGGGCTTGCTTTCTTCAGTAATTATTTCCCCAAACACGAATTGTTAGATTCTGTTCTTTCAGCACATCTATTTCTTCAGCAATATTTAACTCTAAGCTGACGATTTTGCACAGCTCAGTTACCAACTGCTGAGGATTTACACAGTATCTGATCAGCCTGGGACCTGGCTACCAGGTAGAATTCCCCTATAAATATTGAGTAATGATAGAAAGGAGAAAGGCAGAATTATGAGGAAAGATTGTCTGTACAAGAATTTGGGTAGAGACAGATGGATCAGTAACTTCAGGCAATAAATAGCAGCAAAGTCCTTTCCATAACTGTGTAGAAGCTTCTGTTGAGAGAAGTAGAACAGAACCTGGTTGTTCTACAGTATATACTCTTCCTGGCCAAACTTTCTTCTCTCTTCTTATAAGAAATGTATTTTATTGTTATAAAGCCACACTGAAACCTCCTTGAGTAGTCACTGCTTGTCATCCAGGCTACTCCATGCAAATCATGCTGCACCTTTGGCAGAAAACAGCTAGCATAATTTTCTATCTCTACTTGTAAGACATATCAGCAACTCTTCCAAACCCATGAGCTGCTGCTAATCGTGGCCAGAACTTTTCTTGACCAACTTTTACCCTTTACACTGATGGGTCCCCTTCCTTTATTGAGTCATAAATTCACACTGCCATTTTTTAAGCCACCATAAACTGCCATATTTCTGTGTGCCAGACTCCTTGTTTTCTCAGCTAATCCTTTTGAAATCCTCAGTCATCTAAAGCAGTGCGTATAAAACCTATATGCCTGTATGTGTGCATGATCTTTGAGCTTCTAGTCAAAGCAGAGACTCTGTCTGCATGTGTAATCAATCAGTAAACTAACAGCAATCAAATACTAAACGCATCATCTGTGCTATTTGCTCACAACATTATATTAAATGATTTTGCATAGGTTCTACAGCTGTAATTAAAATGTGATTGTAAAAAGTACAGTATCATGGCTCTCATAATCAGAGCACGGGACACAACCTATTGTGTGCTTGAAAACATGGCAGCAGCATTAAAAAGGCACTAAGAAAGAAAGTTGATGTTGTTTATGCAGTTGGGTAATATCAGGATAAAAACCTGAGCTAACAGCACACATTGAGATAAATTATTTTCTTGCACTTTATTAGATGTGGATGTACATATATTGATCTAATAACTGCTAAGCAACTCCAGCAAAGCAGGACAAGTTACTACACTGTGGCACTTGCTCTATGGCTGTATAAGTAATGAGTTTTGCAGCCTTAAGCAATTCTGCTGATGGCTTCCATTCACAGCAGCATTGTTTTCAGAACCTATTCAGCTCGCATGCAAGCAAACCACAGAGGGTATTTCTAATAGATGTTACATCTGCATATACAGTAAGCTGTCAGCTGCCCTCTCTGCACAGCCTCCCCAGCCAATTCACACCACCTGTTGTAATCCTGTGAATAATATTAGACAAGATTTCATACTAGGCATTGTTGAAAAGACACCAACAGAAACTTTGGGCTATTCTGCTTGGGAAATACTCATCAATTTTCCTCTTATTTTTTATTCCAGAATGGAAGCATTTTCAAGCCATAATCAGAGATGCATTCAATGCCTGGAAAGCACTTGTGGGTGCTATTGCAATATAAATTATAAATTACACATAAAAACCTGTTAAAAGAACAGCAGGTTCAAAACTGAGCGCTCAGAAGTTCTGAAAAGCCAGCCCCAGGGCCGCGGGTGTGCTCGGCCACCCCCTGCGTTGTGGGGCTTTGGGAGGCAGGCTGGAAGCACTCAGTAACATGCTATTGCTTCTCCCCACAAGACCCCCCCTGCCTGCTTCATTCAGCTCCCAGGATGAATAGTGCTCACTGAATGAGTATTTTGCTTCGTCCTCCTTGTTCCGTGTGTGACCTCTGTGGTTTATTTACTGCAAACTAATCCCACCCTCCTCTGCAGATAGGATTAATCGCTTCCTCACAGGCTGTGCTCTGCTTTCCACCACCAAAGGATCCAAGTGCTTCAGAATCGTTAATGAATGCACTGGCACAACCTCCATATTGAGGTGTATGGGTTCCTTAAGTCCCAGCACATCTCCATCCAGGTGCTGTGCACGGTGGTGTCAAACACAACCACCCCCTGTGGCACAGGCTGCGTTTGGCTGTCTCTCACCTGCACTTGAGGCCCCACACAGCAACTGCTCCCCTACAGAACCCTCTGGTTTTCCCTCTCTGACTCCCACCCCTCTCTGCTCGTCACTTTGTTCCCTTCCTAATTCATGTTGGCTGCTGGAAGCACCATTTCTGTCTCCGCTGAGCTTCGCGCTGCCTTAGCTCCAAGCAAGCTCATACCTCGCATGACCTAACAAATACACAAACTCCCAGAAATAGTCTTACCCCCACGATTTCCTCCTTCCTCTTTTCCTCGTTGCTTCTTCTCCAGCTGTCCTTGTGGCAGCCCCGTCCCGGTTCTTCTCCTCCCTCCTTTCCTCCCTCCCTACCACAACTCCCGTCTCCGCTTCCTGCTCTCCGTGCTCTCACGCCGGCATTGCCTGTCTCCCGATCGCAGAAGGGGCAGCCTGGGGGAGCATCTCCCCTCCCCGTGCTCCCTGTTCAAGTGGCACTGAACCTTACATTGCCACCAAGAGAAGCAAAACCTGGCTGGTTAATGTTCACCAGCCGGCGCAGCGATAGACTGCAGCGTGCTTGGGACAGGCACAGACATCAAAGCGGACAAATTCAAACCAGATTCTGTTGAGTTGGTCTGAACTCTTGGTTTTTTTTTCAGACACTTATAGGCTGGCCAAACTTGGGGTTTTTCCCTTTCTTTCCTCCCCTCCTACTTGAGCAACAGAGGATACAACCCTGAGAAAAAGGCAAACGCTCCTTCATCGACTGCCAAAGCCCTTGTCTTCAATAGGGGCACAGCAGGCTCCTCACCAAAGCGAGAACAACGCGTAACTTGTGGGGAAAACTGGATTATTTTTTGTCCTGATCTTGTCCTTAGAAACGGTTGAATAATTTTTCCTGAAATAAGAAAGTGCAGGCAGAGACAGACGCCCAGGATGAGAAACAGCTAAAACCTAGTGAGCTTGCACAACTTCAGTCACTGGAAAGTTCACACAACCTTCTCTTTGTCTGAAACTATCCCACTTTGGCTAAGAAATGTATCTGCCATAGTACTGTTGCTTTTCATCACTCAGTGCTAAAACTCTTGGTTCCTTACCTCCAAATCTTCTATGCATAACCCAGAAACCCCACCATGACCAGTGACAGTCACACTACTGGTCTTCAGAGAGATGATGCAAACCCAGCATTGCCTAATACTGCTATTTTTCTGGATAGTTAGATCATGCAATTCCTCCTCATTTCTATACTGATGTTTTTCTAGCATAGAGCTACCTCCCTGGTAACAAAGTATTTCAAAATACTTTTATCCTCCTTAATTCAGCATGTAAATATTGTACTGTTCCCACTGGAGCCAGCAGGTCATGAGCATAATGCTGCCGTGTGCTTTCCAAGTAAAAAACCCCAAAGCCTCACACAATATATCCAGTTTAAATTATTCTCATTGTTTCCTGACAAGATAATGAATAGCATGAACCGAATGCTCTTCTACTTACAGTAAAATGCTAATTTGATCAAAGACCAGTGGTGTGAATAGCAAAATGAGATGCTTACAAGCAAAAAAAAGTGTAACCTTCCCCTTAAAGTTCTACCAGCCAAACTGTATTTCCTTATTATATGCTGAATTCAGTGCTATACGTAGAAGAATCTCCCTATGGGCAAGGAGTGTGTATTATCACAAGTAATTCTGCTGAAGTTAATGAGCCCAGTTATGGCAGTAATCAACAGGCTTGGTTTTAAGTGCTTGAAGCTGACATTCTTACTTGCAAGCTGCTGCAGAAGCTCTGCTTCTCAGAGTACGAGATCAATTACAGCAAACTGGTTCAATGGGCTTTCATTTTCTAACTTTTGAGCCATACAAATGTATTTTAAGCCCTTGAAATGAGCCCAGCTTTCCCAGAACAACAGCCAGGTTATCTGAAAATCTACGCCCTGAAAGGTTCTTCAGGGCTCTGGCATCTATTTTTTCCAGCAATGGAATATTACATGAAAATAAGTCAAGTTCTCCAACAAACAGAAGAGGTTGGGTTGTCTTCACTCTTGTCTTCAGGCTATTGCACTTTCCTTTGTGCACTGAAAGGCTGCCAGATAAATGTATTCCCAACTGAAGGCCAAGCATTTACAGGAAACTCCTGTGTCTGTATGAAAATAGTATTAACCATATTTTGCCTTTATACAGCACCTCTCCGTGCAAGGATCTCGATGCACTTTATAAAGTAAATGTTAGTATTCCCTTTTTACAGGTAGTGAAACTAAGATGATTAAGGGAGTGGAGCATCTCCCTTATGAGGAAAGACTGAGGGAGCTGGGTCTCTATAGTTTAGAGAAGAGGAGACTGAGGGGTGACCTTATTAGTGTATATAAATATATAAAGGGGGAGTGTCATGAGTATGGAGCCAGGCTCTACTCAGTGGCAAACAATGACAGGACAAGGGGTAATGGGTACAAACTGGAACACAAGAGGTTCCACTTAAACTTGAGAAGAAACTTCTTCCCAGTGAGGGTGACAGAACACTGGAACAGGCTGCCCAGGGAGGTTGTGGAGTCTCCTTCCTTGGAGACATTCAAAACCTGCCTGGACACATTCCTGTGTAACATTATCTAGGTGTTCCTGCTCCGGCAGGGGGATTTGAATAGATGATCTTCTGAGGTCCCTTCCAATCTCTAGCATAAAGTGATACTGTGAAATCACTGGATGAAGGGACCTCATCTGCTAGGGAGTATCATCTGCTTCTTGTATCTAACCTGAACTTCCCCTGTTTCAGTTGAAACCCATCATCCCTTGTGCTACTGCTACAGCCCCTGATGAAGAGTCCCTCTCCAGCATCCTTGTAGATCCCCTTCAGATACTGGAGGCTTCTCAATTTTTAAACAATGTGAACTGAGTATCTAAAGCTAGCAAAGAAATCTGGACATATCAGTGGCATGAAACCACAAACACTCAATACTAGAACCTCAAAATGAGCTTCTCTCCCTTTTTTTTTTTTTAACACTCCAAATTATTCCTGTTTTCACAACGTAAGAATTATTCTTTTCAGTCAAAACCTCCCTTTTTCTCATGCACAACTGGCTGGCTCCAGGTTGCTACATGGAGTATAGAAACAGAAGGATAATTCATTTGAATAAATCTGTCATTCCAAAGATTCCTGACTTACTGCCATAAACACTGAGGAGAAAGGTGTAAACTTGAAAAGGTACAGAAAAGTGCTAACCATAAATATTTGTGTCAAATATACATTCACACAACTGTAACTGCTGCAAGTGCAGAAAAAAATGTACCCTGGAGCTTCATTAACTTCCCTGATTGGAAATGGTAATATTCTGGGAATCAAACAATGAAAAATTCAAAGATGCTCTATCCCAAACTATGATAAATCATTTATTTTGACAAGTACGCAGAGTTTAGCTTTAATTATTTATTATTATACTTCGTAGCATATCAGAAAATATGCAGTGATTTATTGTGCAAAATGAAATCTTAAAACGAGTCCCTTCCCCAAACTACGGGATTATTAAATCTTCATGAAAACGGGGTGTGAACTCTCAGGTTATTTTCATTATCGAGCTGGTGGTAAAGTGAAATAAGCCATTCCCATTGCATTTAGTTATATTTTGACTTCAGCCCTTTACAGACCCAGGCCATACAAGCCAAGGAGGGGAGCTGAGAGGGATCACAGATCCCAGCTGCCAATGCCAGGAGCTCTTCTGTCTTGCAGATGACACAGTTGCACCTAACACAAATGGGGGCTGTTACCTTCAGACTGTACATCCCTGCTAAAGCTACGTTGTGGAGCTGATGGCTCCTCTCCAGGCAGGCCTAGGTAGACCAGCCATCTTCGTGTACTATTAATGTCTTTTTTGTACCACTTTATAGCTTTCTGGACTTTTAAAGTGTAAGAGTCACTCCATGGGCCATCGCTGACAGCCACCTCCCAGCCAGGATCCACCTCACCATAACAGTGCTGCCATCACATTGCTGCCTCCAGCAGCCACATCCAACCCCACCACCCAGCTTGCTGCTTTCAAAGGGAGTGATTGATTTCTCTTGTTGATTAGGTTTACAGTTTATACATTGCATTAATGATACAATGGAGAGATACTGAGCTTTGCAGTCACTACCCCTTTTTCTCTCTAAGCAGAAAATTGCAAAGCTCACTGGTATTTAAAGGCAATTATTTCTACGAGCTAGTAATTTCATCTGGGGATGACAGCACACAAACAAGCCCCAAAAGCTCCTGCATGAAACAATCTGAGGATCCAAATGAGGGAAGAACAGTGGGGGAAGAGACATGATGGAGTCTGAAGATTAAGAATGGTCTATGCTTTACCCAACAGGACTTAAGGGTGGGGAGTTACATCAGCTCTGTTCCCAAGGCTTTCACCACCCAGAATATGTCAGTGAGTACATCCATCCTACCGTTACTGCAGAACTGGAGGGGGAAATGACACTCTCCACCTCTTAGGAGTCAGAAGTGCCCTCACACAGAGCAAGGGAAGCTCGTAAATGCCAGCTCTGGATTTAGAAAGGGCAGGAACCAAGACAGGGATTTTCAAGAAATATCAGATATTTCAAAATTAACAGCAAATATTTTTCACATTTTCAGTAAAAACTTTTTCCTGTTCTGTAAATTTCTGCTCCAAATCCCTGTCGTTTGGGAATGTTTTAATTCCAGAGCAGCAAAACCTCCCATGAGAATCAGCAAGGCAGTCTATCCTGAACGCAGGAGTCATGCTGAGCATCACTCTTTACAGGTAGCCTTAATAATGGGGAATAAGTACTTACTGAAATGATAAAAGGAAATGTTAGTTTAACTGTTAAATATATAATTACTTTAAGTACTTGTTTCTGCAATTGTAACACTTGAGCCTGATGCAAACTCACTTTCTAGCCTGTGCAACGGATTTAATTTCTTCTAATTCTTTCTTTCAGCTATAAAGAGGTAAAACACAGGAACTGCTGCTACAAAGATTGCTTATTATAGAAGTGTTTTAGAAAGGTAAAGCATCACACAAGACAAGGACTATGGGCGTGTTCCAGCAAAGCAGCTGAGCTACTCCAGGAGCTCACTCGTGAACTTCCCTTTCCCTGTCTGCTCCAAGGCCAGCCACTCCTCTCATGTTCCTCATCTCAGCATTAGTGGAAAACCTGGCCCCTTCACTCCAAATCCAGGCTTCCCTGCAGTTACTGAGCTCAATGGAATCAGAGAAGGGTCCCCCAATTGCAAAAGCTGCTGCTAGGGAGAGGACAGGGCCAGAGCAGCTGGGAGAGGGAAGGAGACGGAGAAAGGGGAGATAGAATCACCTCTTCTGCCTTTACAACAGCACGGATGAATTGCACACTGATGTTTACACACAGAGTTTGCTGAACTGCAACCAAAGGAAGGGTTATGCACATAAGCAGCTATAATTTTTGGTTGATTAAACAAAAAAGACCCCAAAATAAAGTAAAAAAAAAACAAAACACATTGCAAGTTTGCTCCAGTTAGACAGAAAAATACCTTTAACATTTCTAGATAAATAGAGATATTTCATTTTAGTATGGCAATGAGGACATCAAAAATACCTGTTCTTTAATTACAACCCCCTTTCTACCCAGAGAAAAGAAAAAACCTACTGGGAAAATCACTGCTGTAACTGCAAAACGTGCTGCCTTTGCAAAACCCACAAAATAATTCGACTAAAACATCTTTAACACCTACATCATTTCTAAAAAGTCTACAGATTTTCAAATAATTACTAGCACTTTCATAAATATTTAATGGTGTCTACAAAAGTTCTTTGACAGAACTAAAAACCCACTGTGCACACCCCAGTTTTCTTTTACTGACTGAATAATCAACCCAACAACTTCCAAATCTGCCTTCTGCTTCATTAGTATTTTTCCAATTTATAAAGCACTGATGTAAGGGACAATAAACTTGCTGTACTTGTCAGCTGCACCAGGGGAGTGTGGGGCTGAAAGCTGAGCTAGCAAAAGGAAAAGACAAAACAAAACAGCAGCTGGAGGGGGTTTAGTTTTCAACAGGATCAGTGACCTGCTCTGGCTCCACAAGCATTTGTGACAGCATGAGGTGTGCAGCAGGACTGCATGGTGGGGAAGGAGCTGCAACTGTTCCTCCTGGGAGTGAGCTGCTCTTAGGTAAGCTTCAAATGGATCATGAAACTATAACCTGAGAGACTTCAGATCTATCATCTCTGATCTTACCTGACAGAGGGATTAACAAAGCTCCCCGATAAGCAAATGCCTGGTTGAGGTTCCCTCTGTGAAACCATCACCCATCAATCCTGCATGTCCATACACACCTCCTCCTTCATCACCTCAGTTACTCGAAGTACAGACTCAACCAGAAGGGCACTTTGCTTGGGTGTCAGGTTTGGGTTTTTAAAGGTTTTAATTTTAAAAAGTTCCATACAATCGTGCCACTTCCTTGGGAGTGTGTGCACTGTGAGGGGACGTGGGAGAGACATTTCACAGTCTACCAAATTAGCATCTGCAGGAACAAATTGCAATGTCTTTGTTCTCCTGCACGGCACAGCCTGATCCAACCCTTGCTAAAAATTAACACAGCAATAAAACAGATCAGAAAAAGAAAGTAAAAGAAAAGCTCAGAGAAGCCCACAAAAGCTGGAGCTGCAGCAGCAGGTCAGGCCTTCCTAGGTCAGGCTGCCGGCAGCCCTACCATTGCTGCAGGGCAGCAGCCCTTTAATTTGGGTAAACCAGTTACCTGTGTGTCTGAGTAAGAGCCAACATGATGGATTTAGAAACACAAACCCAAGAGTAACTATAGTGGGAAACTTAATTTTAAATAATTAGAAGGTAAATATAAGGCAAGCAGTGCTTTACTGTGCATACAATCCTTACAGAGTATCCCTGAAGAGCTCTAGTTTCCTCTAAATTTGCATAGTTTCTTACTCTATGCAGTTACAACTGCTAAGTGCACATAAAAGAACTGTCATGAAATCCAAAGAGAAGGGGGAAAAAAAGATCAAGTCACACATAGAATTTTATAGGGGACTCATTTAGAATCCTACCTGATTTGCTCTTTCAAGGTCTGTCATGATCATCTCGATTTCATCAGCCCTGGGAGAACAAGAGAGCAGAAGTACTGTTATCACATGAAGAATGCCCGCTATATGAGTTCATGCACAGCACAATTGCAACATTCATACAAACAATACCAATTTTCAGTATGTTTTTAAAAGGACACAGTGAGACTGATCAGCCAATCTTCTGAGTGGTGAAATCCTCGCAGGTTTCAGCTCTGGGGACTGGTTTGCAAGTCTCCAATTGCTTTGCCTGTTCCCTTCTTGCAGCAAAAGGGGGAATATGAATAATGAGTATCTAAGCATATTCATTAGATCTTTGAGGATCTTACTCTCGAACCTTCTGCAGAAGGGCAGTGTCATCTCTCCTACATGTAAAGGTGCTTCTCAAGTGATAATTACAGAGAAGTCAAACACCAAGCTGACTACGGTCAACTACTTGTATACACGTACACAAAAGTAGCCTGTTACTCTTCTGTTTCAGCATGCTCAGATGTTTGGTTCTAAACTTAGCAAAAGAAAAAATATCCTGAGGTCAAAGAGACCAAGAAACTTAATTTTACATTACACAGAAAAGAGGGTTTTGACACATATTTATGAAACTCTAAATTTAGACTCAGGCTCTTAATGCACTCTGCAAAGCTGAATAGGAAAGTCAAAGGGTTGAAAACTATACAAATAGTCAAGGAAAACCAGATCCTTCACGTACATGTGTTAGGTGGCAGCTACCAGCCCTGATCCTTTAAAGCCCCAGCATTTCTAAGCCATCACTTACACAAACGGACCTAATCCTTAAGCAATCTTTTTGTATCCTCATGCTGAATCATGGGCAGATAATTCCACACTCATGCTCTCACCTGTGCAAGGTACCAGGAAAAGGGCCTACAGACCTAAAAGTACGTTCTTTATCGATATAATTAGATACATTACTTCTCCCCAGACATTTTCCCTGTCTTGCATCTCTAGACCATATGGAAGCAATAAACACTATCCTCATCTCCTATGAGCAGCAGCTTTAGCCAGCAAGTCCTTTTGCAATCTGCCAACACCATAATGTCTGGGTTTTGTTTTTAATCTGTAGCAGATCATTATCAGTAAAAGCTGTGAAATACTGGAGTTCCCTTCCTCTGCCCATGCAGGAAAGTCAGGGCTTGGTTTTCTCCTGATCCCACAGAAGATCCATTTTTCTATGCAGGTGTTTGCTGGGAAAGATGGTTAATGGAAGTACATCACGGTACCGGCACATCCAACACTTCATCATTACACTGAATATTGACTTACTCTTCCAACAGCGTTTGAGGCTCTACATGCACATTCAGGGAAATGCAGTAAAAGATCATAATAAGTAAATGTGTATGTATATACATTAATGGAAAATTATTTTTAATTACAGCCTTTAATGTTGTTGGGTAACATGAATTGCCTTTTGAAAAGGTCTTTTGGACAATAATGGAAAACAGATTAACATGTGCTTTCTTGTGCAGGAGAAGCTAATGTGCTCTTACATTGGAAAGAACTCATGCACACAACGTTTTGAATTAATAATAAATAATAGACATTAATTACTGAATTGAACAATCATTCCTTGGGCAAATAAGGATCCAAAGTGCACAAGGAGTGGCCAGAAAACAACGCCGGGCAGGTTAACATAAACCTACAACATTTTTGATCTCTTTAGCCTCTGTAGTTGTGAAATGTTTTTTGTTTTAGACTCCAGCCCCAAAATACTTGTTAACTCAGTTATGGAAATGACAGTATTTCACACGGAAAAGACGTCCCTAAGACCATGCAAGTGACCCCACTGTGTATCTGTAACACAGGGATGAGAGCATCCTAAGGCACCAAAAAAAGAAAGATGCTTCCCAGCATTTTACAAATATTTTAACCCAGGATAGTTTAAGGATCCTCTTTATATAAGCTTATGCATTCATGCTGAATTTATGTGTGAATGCCTCAGGTTATATGGAGCCAGTAAATGATGTCTGGATTATGTCACATGCCTCCCAGATCAGCGCTGGGAATGTCCCACCCCAACACGCATCCTACAGCTTAAGCAAACCCAGTTTCCACTTGCTTCTCTGCAGGCTTTGGAGAACAATAAGCTCACTGGGGTGCCAGGTATCAGCCAAAGGTCTCAAGAACTGCAGAACCTGAGAAGAGCAAAGGACTCAGAAGCACTAAACCCTTGGACCAGGAGAGGACGAAAATAAAATGGAGAAAAGATGATTCTGATGCAGAATTGATGAGTGGGAAGGGGCAGAAAAGTGAGGGAAACTTGATCCATCACAGGACCCTCAGCCACCTTTAAAGGTCTTAGAGGCCAGTCAAGGGAGCCAAGAGCAGGGAAACAGATGAAGACAGCAGAGCGAGAGAAGGAACAGAGGGATGTCCTAGGCCAAAGGACAAAGAGCAGTAAAGCAGAGGAATACCCCAGACCAGCGGAAAGCTCTGTGGCGGCCACTAGAAGAGGCTGAAACAGAGGATGGTGCCTGGAAACGAGGTGGAAGGACTCAGGAGAATCCTGTATTTAAAATGGACACAAGTATTAATAGGGGTATTTGTATGCTGTTCTGGCTGGGGTCAGGATTTAAGAGCTCTATTACAGCACTGGTATATGCAGCCAATTACAAAAGAAAGCAACCGAGGATATAGAATGCCATAAAAGTGCCATTTCTGCCCTTCAGCATGCACAGATAATTCTGACTGAATCCAGCAGAAGTGTCAAACTGTAGCCAAGGGCAAAATTGTCCCTTTGTCCTTGTATCCAGACACTCCAGCTGACTGATCCTGAACTCCCCTTTCCCTCATACGTGTTTTCTACCTAGCTTTTCCACACACAATCTGTCTCTGCACACTTAAAAGGATGTAACATCCCCCCAAAAATTCAAACAAAACACCCCCGGCCTAGCAGTGGAGGTTAATGCTGCAACCATAAATGTTACCTTTAAGTAAAGTAATGAATTAAATTACTCCATATTCTTTCCTAGCACAAGTGTCAACAGCATTCAGAAGAATCTTCAAAAGGAATTCAGTCTTTTCATTTTAAAAGCTCAACTACCACATCAGTGGCTGGCACTCAGCAGTCTAAAATCACTTACTTGAGAAAGTCTCTAATAGCTACATTCACTGTTTGCTCAGCAGAAGTATTTACTATGAAATAAATTACAGTTCTCACACCTTTTATGCACTCGCAGAAGCAACTTGCATTGATTTATTGTTTACAAAGCACCGTGTCGAATTCAGACCTGCAAGGTACAAGGAAACACCACTTTGGCTCAACTGTGTTAGTCCCACACAGGTCATTTTTGAGGTATTCACCCTTTGCTCATTTTCAGCCCTTCCTATTTCAGCATTTCTATTTATTTCAATGGAACTATTTGACAGGCAAAATACCACCTTGTCCTGCAGGGTTTCACTGAGAATCTGGTGGGAACCCAGAAGGGAACAATGGCCAAGTTCAGCAAATCTGTAGTTATGGACCGCCCCAAAACTTCTGACCAAAGTCATTCCACAGGAGCTAAACTCACTTGTAAGAGACACAGACCTGGTGATTTTACCTTTTAACTTTCTCCATTCCTGAAGCAATGCATGACTTGGCCTCTTGTGAGTGCCTGGATCCCTCCATCACCCAAAAGCTGAAGGCAAGAGGAAGAACCCCAAAGTTCTCACTTTCTTCAGAGGGCTACAGAGGGTAACTAGTCACAGGGAACACCTTTTGCTAAAATACACTGATATTTATGGTGATTTACAGCAGATTTCTACATTGCAACTCAACAGCATTCAGGGTTTGTCACGGGTGATACTTTCTTAACATTAAAACAGATCATGAAAAAAAGAGTGGCTAAAGCTCTTTTCAGGAACAACTATTCCTACCCTCTGTTTTCTCATTCCACAGATAATCCGATCATTTATCTGATCTAATTCCTTATAAGATCTGTGTCAGAGGAAAAGTTATCATGTAAGGAAGACAGCTCTACAGTCTTGTTCTAAGTTTCAACACTTCCAGGCTAAGGAATTTAGGCAATCCAATTTTAAGCCCAAGCATTTGGAATTACAGAATAAGCATCACCAAGTAAAAAGAACCTGGACTGTTGAAACAGCACGACCATGAAATATTCTATTATTTCTTCTCTTGCTAGAGTGTTTGAAGTGAAAACCAAACCCCACTAAAAGCTGTACGTTTTACAAGGTAGAAGCTTTTACCAGCCATGAAAGAGCCCTCAAAGCTCCTATGCCATCTATAAAACAGGAGTTTAAACAAGAACACCCCACTTCTCAGTTCAGTTACTGATGGGAAATGAAAACTGCAGAAAGGCTCCGTTTTCCTTTGAAGATCAAGATAAGTGATTTCGGTTTGAGCAGCGTAACAAGCAAGCAAATTCAAGAATTGGTAACGTGGAAGCAGCTCAGTTCTAAATACAATCCAATCCGATAAAAACCCTAAACACCATGAAGCTCTTCACTTGCAAGCAAGAAGAATCTGAACTTCACGATTAAAATCCAGTTGATCCAACTCCTTCATTTAGATCCCAGCTTAAAGAGCCAGAAACAACAACTTTTTTATTAACATGACAAGTTGAATGGTTTGCCAAATCTCATGGCTACAGCCCCCTAAACACTGAAACTTACTGAACCTTGAAGGAAACTGCTGTTGGATCCCTTATACATGGAAGAACTGAAAAATACAGATGACACTTGTGAAATTGCAGTCAGTGGCGTGGCCAAGAAACCTCACTAGTGGGGCAGATGAGTATTCTGGTCTGGCAAAAACCAAACACCATTTCTTCCCACACATTCGTTTTCTTTACAAACATGTCTAAGTTTCCTGGTCAGGGCAAAGGGGCTATGGAGCCACTGGGGCTTGTTAAAACGTTCTAATTACCAAAACGTTTACACAGGCAATTTCAACCTAAAAGCAGACATTATCAACTCCTGTGCAGTTATGGTTAAGTAAGGAAAAACCATAAATCCTACTTGTAATATGTATCTGTGATTGTCACGGAGCAGATTTTGGCCAAATTAGGCAAACATTTTACC